AACACTCCAAATGTTCCAATTTTCGACTCAAAAGAAATAGCTAATCATTTCGCCTCTGTATGGTCCGATAGTGCGAGCGATTCAAACTTCCACCCCTCGTTAGTAACAAATAAAAATGAACTTCTCAGAAGAAGGTACAGTAAAGATCTCCCACCCCCATCTATTACCGAATCAAACATAATCATCGCAGAATTCGATTTCACTTTATCATCAATGTCTGGCAAGACTCCCGGTGCAGATAGGATTTCATATCCCATGCTAAAAAACTGTTCTTTAAGTCTCAAAAATAGATTTATTAAATTATACAACAATATTTTATGTCAAGGTGTCTACCCTCAAAGCTGGAAAAATGCAGTGATTGTAGCAATTCCTAAATCAAATCTGTAGACTCTACACAGATGTTCTTGGTTACAGGCCAATATAACTTCTTTGTTGCACGGGCAGACTATTGGAAAAAATCATATCAAAACGTATCTCGTGGTTCGCATTAACTAAAAACCTTCTCAGTCAAAACCAAGTGGAATTTAAGGCAGGGCAAGGCACTATGGATGCTTTACTCTATTTTGATAATTTCGCCAGAACTGCTTTATCGATAAGAAGCCACATATCCACTCTCAGTTTGGATTTCGAAAAAGCTTTCGACAGAGTTGGTTCTCATGTCATTCTGCGACAACTTGAGAAGTGGCAAATTGGTGAAAAAATATTTAACTTTATTAAATCTTTCCTAATTAATCGGAAATTCGTGACTAAAATCATAACACTTTTTCGAACAAGTACAATATGTACAATGGAATACCAAAAGGATCACCATTGTCTGTCATACTATTTGTAATCGCATTTAACGAAATCAGTACGATAATCGCTAAATATAAACTCATTTCGCATATTATTTATGCCGATGATGTGCTGATCTTCTCCAAGCAAAATAATCTTAATACTGTTAAAAATACGTTCTTAAAAATCCTTTCTGATATTTCAAATTGGTCCTATTGTTCAGGTGCGAATATTTCTATAAACGAATATTATTCCATATCTGTAGAAAGCACAAATATAATAACTTCAATCTTAACTATAATAATGTAAATATTGTAAATACTACCAGTCTTAAATTCCTAGGTTTAATATTTGATAAGAGACTTACTTTTAAGGAACATTATACAAATCTACGTAAGAAACTAATTTCTAGACTATATAAATAAGTATCTATCATCAAAATATTGTTTAATTCACATTTCTTCTCTTATCAATATTACAAAAGCTTTAATTTTACCTAAGATTGATTATGGTCTCCCTATCTACGGCAATTGTGCCAAAAGGAACATAAAGCAAATACTTGCACCATATCATGCAGCGGTTAGAAGAAGTATTCGGGCATTCCAACATCACCAATAAAGTTCATATTAATGGAAGCCGGACTCCCATCCATCGAGGAAAGAGTATTACATACTTCGCAAAAGCTTATTCCAAAATTACTATTATGTAATAACAAGCTCTTATATGGTATAGTAAAAGCCAAATGGACCGACGATACAAACTCCAATACTTCTTCCACTATTTCTAAATGCATTAAATTAGCTAAAGATCTAGGTATAACAACTATATCTGAGGAAAAGTCTATTTCTTTTACCCCATCATGGCTACTCAAAGAATCTTCGTTTGAGCTACATCTTCAAAAGCATCATAAAAAGAACACAAATTCCAGGGTATATCAAAGTTTGTTCAAAGAGCTCATTGTGCAACACTACGTAGATTGGCAACTCATTTTTACTGACGCTTCGAATGCCGACTTCTACACGTCTTTTGCTATTGTCGATAATGTTGGAAATACGTTAAAAGCTGGACTCCTGCCCAATTACCGCTCAGTATACACCGCAGAAGCAGCATCCATCTATAATGCGCTATCCCTAGTACAAAAATCTAACTTAAAAACATTAATATGTACTGATAGCAAGTCTACAATATCAGCTCTTTTAAATGCATCTAACAAATCCTACCTCATTGCGCAAATTAGACGCATACTAATTGAGAAAACAAACTTAAAAATTATGTGGATCCCTGGACACATCGGTATCACTGGAAATGAATGGGCCAATCAAAACGCCAAATTAGCGGCAAAACAGCCATTGATTATCTTCGACTACGTCGAAAAAAACGACATAATCCATTTAATCGCTTCAAAACAAACAGCTATAAAAGTTAATGCTTGGAAGAATGTGCAACACCACTACGCCATCTGCAGCCAAGAGGGCAAAAAACCTGCTTATCCGCCATCAGGCCGTTGCCAAGATATAAAAGCCTTTGTCCGCCTTCGTYTTGGTCATACGTCATTAACGCATTCCCATTTATTAAATGGATACCGTAATTTATCCTGTGCATATTGTAGTTCGTCGTCCTTAACCATAACACATCTACTGGATGAATGCCCCTTCTTCAATTCAGCAAGGACCAGTATATTTCAGAATAATAAAGCTCTTGATTTATTAAAAATAACGTCTATTGTAAACATCACTAAAATATCTGAATACCTATCTCGTACAAAGTTAAAGAAATATATTTAAGTTATCCTTGCTTTTTAAAATTTATTTTTAACATATATTGTTAGTTCATAAAAACATATTGCTTGTAAATAATTCCTAAATGGAAGGTTCCATCTTTATTATTTAAGTCGTTTATATTAAAAACGTGAGCTGAAAGCAGTGTTGGTACATGTAGGGAAAATTCCCTACACGTAGGGATTTAAGTCGAAAAAAATGGACGTGGGGAAAAAAGGACAGATTTTTATATATAAGTAAAATGTAGGGATTTTTCGACAAAGCAAAATCGAAATTTCTATGTAATTTTTTTTCGGTCAAAATGCAAATATGTCTATTTGGCAACTTTTTATCAAAAATATGTTCGAATGGCAGCATTAAATCGGTTTCAACTTCACGTTGTCAAAGGCAGCATTCTGAAAAAGTGTTTTTATGGCAGCATGCTGGCGTCGCATATAATTCGTTTGCCGCTTTTAATTTGATTGCTGACTTTTTGTGAGGTAAATCTGAAGTAAATTTAAAAGTTTTTGCTTTTATTGACAAAAACCATTTTTACAGAAATGAGTTCTTCAACAGAATCGGACGAGAGTATTGCAAAGAGCCGCAAATATCGTAAACAAAAGTTTACAAATAAGTGGCTAGGAGACGAAAGACTCAAGGGTTGGTTACAAGCTTTGGCCGGTGAGTCGTTTAAATGCAAATGCGCTGAATGCAACAAAATTTTAAATTGCAGCAAGTCTGATTTATTGAAACACGCAGAAACAAAAGCACAGCAGAAAAATGTAAAAGCCATAAGCAAAACTTTTTTTAAGAGAAACGTAAATGCAGAAGGGGATCTAGATAAAAAAAATTTAAATAAGATTCAGCATGTTTTTCGCTGAACACAATGTCGCTTTGACAGTGGTAGATCACCTAATCCCACTTTTGAAAGAAATAGTGCCGGATTCTGAAATTATAAAAAATGTTGATCTTGGGAGGAAAAAGTGCACCAGCATAATAAAAAATGTAGTAGCAAAAGAAGAAAAGGACAACTTGGTAAATAAGTTAAAAGTAAACCCGTTTTCCGTAATGATCGACGAGAGCACAGATATCGGCCTCAATAAGCATATGTGCATCCTGGCCAGATTTTACGACGAAGAAAAGGGACGAGTTATGGTAAAGTTGTTGGATCTACTGCCAATAGGAGCTGATTGCACTGCAGATGCTCTGAACAAGACTTTTAAGGAATTAATTTTATCCCTAGGAATTCCATTTAATAACATAATTGGTAAATAAAATAAAATGGTCATATGTATATTCTTCACATATATGAATATGTATGTATAAACAAAAATTTTAAAGTCGTTTTTTATTCCTTGTATTTTAAAGGCATGTGCAGCGACGGCGCAAATGTTATGGTCGGGAAATGCAATTCATTCGCTCCCAGGTTGATTAATGACGTGGTCGTTGTAAAATGTATTTGCCTTTCGGCCGCAATTATTGCAAGTAAAGCTTGCTTAGCACTGCCAAGAGCACCCGAAGTTATTTTGCGGCAAATCGGTTCGTATGTCTCTGGAAGTTCCAAGAGATGTGCGCAGTTGGAAGCTGTGCAGGAAATGTTAGGTGGAAGGAAGAAAACAATCCTAAGAATGTGTGCAACTAGATGGCTGTCACATCATAGGTGCGTCGAAAGTGTTTTAGAAAACTGGGAAGTGCTTTTAGAATTTTTTAAGCAAGCTGCCGCGCAAGATAAGTTGAAATCTACAGAAATTAGTTCGTTTGAACTCAATAATGAGTGTAATAGAGCTTATTTACTTTTTCTTAAGTATGTCCTCAACTATTTTAATACTCTAAATGCACCTTTTCAGTCCAAAGTGCCACTAATACATGTTCTTCAACGGGAATCAGAAAAATTATTTTTGAGTCTAGGTCAAAATTTCATTAAAAGTCGGAACTTAATACTACTTGTGCTGTTAGATCTCTACCAAAGTAGTTTCTCTACCAATCGAAGAAGTTTTTTTGGGCATGAATGCATCGATCTCTTTACAACTATTCCGAAGGCTACTGCAAACAAAATAAGAATGGATTGTCTGCAGCTTTACATTATTGCTTTAGAAGAAATACAGCGAAGATTGCCCCTTGGAACAAGTATATTTACAGAAATGGAGTTTTTAAGTCCCGAATTTGCAATGGGGTAAAATGATTTCACATTTAGAAATATTTGCAGCAGATTTAATGTAGATGCTAACGCTCTTCTACAAGAGTGGAGAACTTTTGAGTTTAGTTTTAAGAGCGGTGAAAAAGATAATCTTTTAAAGATGGGCACTGAAGAGTTTTGGAGCAATATCACTAAAATGAAAAACTTTAAAGACAATTTTCTTTTTCCCTCTATATCAAAATTAGCCAAGTTTGTTTTAACACTACCAAATGCTAATGCAGATTCCGAAAAAATTTTTTCTATAGTTACAGATGTTCGTACGAAAAAAAGAAATAAGTTAAGCCATGCAAATTTAACTTCGATTTAAATTGTTGCATTTTTCAGCGCTAGGAATCGCATCTAAAAAAAATGACAGCGTCTGAACTCTACGACCATCATTAATATTTTTTTTTTTGCACTGTGGTTACATCATGCTTAAAGTATATGTTTACGTGTTTTTGTTTGTTTAGTTTTTTTTAACCAAATAAATTAATGTCGCCTTAGTTAACCATTCATTTGATTGGATCATTCTTGTTGTACATATGCTAGTCTAATTTAAAACATGAAATGTATTTAAAGAAATTAAGTTTTTTCTTTGTATTTATTTGTATATATTATACATGTATGTGTACACATTAGATATATATATATATATGGTGCACATATTATATTTTTATGTATTATACATATTTAATATTATAATAAATGTTCCAAATGTCTAACTTTTTGTACTTTAAGGTCAAACTTTTTTGTTTTCTTTTAATATTGTAAGAAATGATTGGTAAAACTTGTAAGGAATTTTGTGGGGAAAAATTTGAAACAGCGGAGGGAAAAGTGGGGATTTTTTCTTCTTTGGTGGGGATTTTCCAAAAAATCATGTACCATCACTGGCTRAAAGCCTCTGTAGCTAGTGCTCCTTATATTTAATGTATAATAATAATTGTATTATTATTTTACAAATAATAAATAAACAAATAATAAATCTTAACTTGGTATTTTAGTTGTAGAAGTAAGTACATAAATAAGTAAAATTTTATAGTAAACAACCGAATTTTAAATCTCCTTCATATCTAACTAATGTTTACAAATTGTATTATGTAACACAGGGACACATTGCATGTGTTTCAATAGAAAAAAGCATAAAGTGGTATATTATATAAGAGGCGAAATTGGCAAATAAAATTTTTAATGACTTAAAAAAGGAGTGAGATTTAGTAAGACACCGACAAAAAAGAGAAATTGGCACTTAAGCTATAATACTTGACTGTAGTTATTTGGAGATCTTACCCCTTCCAAAAGGCGTTGTTTTTCGCATATTAAGTAGCAAGGACTTGTAAGCTTGCCTTTAGAAGTGAGATAAGTGATAAGAAGTGGTCAAAAATGGTCGAGTCAGAAATTTAGTCAAGAAAATTATCATCCTTTTGCCTTAAATGGAAAAAATGATATTGGTCCTTAGCCATATATGTTGTTTAACATACGACGTTCAAACTTCCTGTTGAATTTATAGAGCATATATTGGTTAATATGTAAGAAGTCTTAGCAAAATTAAGTAAAAGTATAATCATGGATCTCCTACACCCGATGTATTACATTTCTCTTCTCGATATACGAGTATCTCGGCGCATTACGCCCGAATGACAGCACGGAAAGACGTGAAAAATTGCACGGGTATTGCTTTAGTCCTGGAGAAGGTCCTAACGGTGGCCTTATTTGCCAAATCACACTGGATTTCGATTTATGTCAATATTTATAACTCAAAAACGGCTGAACCGATTTGGCTGAATTGGTGATGAGGTAGCTTTAAAACTTGGGACGGGCATAGACTACTTTCTATCGTTTTATGTTAAAAGCCAAAACAATTCATAAACAAACAAAAATATATTTCAAAACATAAGCATGTGTTCAGTATTCATGGAAGCATCATTTGGATATTTTAATACTTCAAAAAAATAATAATAATAACGTCACACAGCTACTGGAAGGCTACAGTGGTTTTTGTTTACACATGTGTGTATGTATTTGTATTTTAGTTATAGTTGTAACTGAACAAGAAAAGGTTTAATCATAATGTGAGATGAGTGTATATTAGATGACAAATACTCATGAAGCATTACACAGAAGAAGGCAATATTTAAAAGGAACGATCAAGTCTGTGTTTTCTTACGTGTATTATCTGGGTTTTAGTCGACGATTTTGCAATTACAATGTACGACGAATGTTGAACAAAATATTACCATATGATTATATATAGGGCGGGAGACGCGCCCGATGGAGAGACTGTGGAGATGTTGTTACACCATACGTATTTATATATGCACTATTCCTTTAGTGATTTACGAAGTAATGTATGTTGCCAATTTAACTATTCCATTATATTGTTATCACGGT